TTAATAAATAAAAAAACAAACAATAGAAACCTTAAAAAAAGTCAACATCTAAGAACTCATTTAAATAAAAGAATAAATAAAAAAAAAAATTAACTAAATACAAGAGCAAGAACAACCAACAGGATTTACCGATAATCTTCAATCTCGAATCTAAAATCTTCAACTTAAAGGAACAAAATTCAACAAATTTATCGTTACAGATCAATACATGTGATTTTATGAGTGATTAATTTTATTAGTAACATATTTATTAAAAGAGTTTGAAGTAATTTCGTGGTGGTGGTGACCTAAGTCACTTTTGAGGACGGACAATAAATTTAATTAAAAAAATTTATTGGTAAGTTATTTTTTAATATATTATTTTACTGTTAATTATTAATTGTTACTAATTATTTTTTATTTTAGTTCCTCAGATTGGTTTCACATGTAACATGTAACATGTATTTAAAATTATTAATTTTGATACTAACATCTGTCTGTAGGCGATTTTTAAGTATTAATTATTACAAACGGTATATGTAATTAAAACGCTTGAAAAACCTCGAATTATGCAACACTTGTTATATGAAAGATTTTTAATATTTCAATTGTATATTACAAGAGAAATAATATTGAATAAAAGTTATCGTAATTAATGATAATATTATTCGAAATATTATAATTCAATATTTGTTTAAATTTGATGTCGGAAGTCGTGAATTTTAAAGCTTAAAAGTAAATAATTTTAGTTTTAGTTTAAAAAATCATCGTTTTTCACTTAAAACTGGATTTTTTGAAGAACTGATAGATAATTGTCTGAAGATTTATAAATTTTTGAACATTTCAAAAAATTTATGTAAATTGCCCTGATAGCTATCGTTAATGGTAACTTGTATAAAATTTGGAGTGCAACTTTGGCTATCTGCCCTAATAACAACTTGCGCTTCATTTGCTTGCAAACTGCATGCAGATTGACAGAAACTATAGAATCACCTGTTTTATTAATAAAAAATGGGCAAGTCAGGCTTAGACAGAATGCCAAACATTGGGTCTGTTTGGCTGAACTAAGTCTTGAGTAAACTTAGTAAGAATAAGTGTAGTAGAAAATGCTTTAACTGAGGTGAAGTATCCATTAATTGAACAGATTTCAAAGTAAAACGTATTTGACCCTACTTTTGATTTATAAAGAAGTAATTATTAGTTTAAATTAATAATTTTTATGAAAATATACACAATTTTGAATTGATTGAAGCGCAAAATAACGCAAATAATTGAATATTTATATTTTGCCAACGTTTTTAAGATAGACCACACAGAAAAAAAAATGTTCTTGAATCAAGTATATAATTTTGAAGAACTTAATATTCTTGATTTGAGTAGAAAAATTCTTGATTTAAGGAAATTTTACTTGATTCAAAACTTTTTTATCTTGATTCAAGACAATTACCCTTTTCAAAATTATATTCTTGGTTCAAGAATTTTTCTCTTGAATCAAGTTGGTTTTTTTTTTCAGTGTATGAAAAGAGTAGTAGTTGAACTAATAAAATACATGGCAATAGGCACAGCAAAAATTTTCAACGTTTTATTGAAATGTCAAAAGAATTATAACATATTATTGATTAATATGAAAAATCATACTATGAATATTTAATATGTTCATTTAAAAATGAGAAATATTTGTATTTAATTTTTTAATTACATTTTTTACGAGTGACAAAGCAAATTTTCATTTCTAAATCAAAAAAACTCAATCCAAAACGTTCAATAATTTTTAACTACACTAATGTTTAGCTATAAAATTTATTTAATTTGCAGTAACTAATACAAATCACAATGCTGATCTCTAGTATATAAACCTATTAGAGATTGGAGTGTTGTTAAAATTATACGGCCGCAGCTTGTTAAAGGTCTGGGTACCGCTTTGAAAATTTGGAGGTAGACGCTAAAATTTAATATATAAATTATAGTTTATGTCTGCAAAAAATATGTATTATTTAGAAAAGACTATTTCATTGGCTGGTACAATTTTTTTTACTCAAAATGATATACTGTTTTTTTTTTACTGATTGTTCGGTTTACGGTTTAGTACCTTTTTCATGAAAAAAATAGCATCTATCGGCGGGTCTAGACATGCCAACTTCTAAGTTAATAAAAATATAATTGTTTTGATTTATAATTGAAAAAATTTACAGAAATCAATTACTGTATCATTGAATAATTATAACATGCGCTTATAACTCGTAATAAATATATGGATTTTGTATTAATACAATTCGCATAGTCTGTTCAATTACTGGTCCCATTTTTATGAGCGTTCAAGTACTGGGTACTTTACCTTACTAATTCTTACTAAGTTTATTCAGAACTTAGTTCGGCTGAACAGACCCATTGATGGCTATTTGAATGCAGATTCTGGCTTTCAAACTTTTGCGGTCAGTTTGCCTAAAATATCCGCCTTACACTGGCACCAAACTGCGTTAGCCATCTTGACTTCCAATTGACACCAATCATTGGATAGTAACTTTTGTACTGTTATTTTGGTTATTGGGTTGTTTCAATTAGTTTTTTGTCCGTTCAAAATGTTAAGTTGCCGCTAAAAAACGTATCCGCTTGAAATTTTGAGAAGGTTAAAATTTTTTCTCAAAGAAGGTTCAGAAAGATGATAATTTTGTAAGTTTTAGCGGCACGAGCTCAAAATTTTGAAACAAGACTAACATTTTTATAAAAATATTTTTCTTGTACTTACTCCCCGCTATTGAGATCAATAATTTTTCAAAATTGGGAAGGTATTTAGTTTTACAAACTGAAGTGGGGTAGAGAAGCTATTCTTACAGAAAAACAATAACTTAATATTCTCACCTTACAATCCTGAAAATTTTCATAAATTTGAGCACTAGCAAGTTAAATTTCATAAATTTTGAGACTTTTGATCTATAATAAAGTTTGTTCAATACAAATATGAAAAAAATAATGAACTTTCGATTTTGATTTCTTGATAAGAAAAATTTGATTCAAGAAAATAAAATGAAATTCTTTATTCAAGAATAATTTTCCAAAATTTTTTATTCTTTATCCAAAAACTAATTTCGTAATTCAAAATAGTGAAAATGTTAAAAAAAAAACCAAATTTTGAGTATAAAATTTTTCTCCACAAAGTATCAGAAATCTTAAAATTTTTTAATTATATCATTTTTCAAATACCGGTAGTATTTTAAATCGATAAAGTGTTTGTTTTATTTTAAAACAAAATTTTTTCGTTGAAGTAAAATTCTAAAAAACTTTCTGTCAATTCAACAGTTTTAAAATATTAAAATCATTTTGAAATAAGAAAACTGAATATTTTTAAACGATATTAAAATTTTTAAAAATATGTCTGTTTCTGGATCAAGTAATTTTTTTGTCAATATGAAGAATTATAATATTACTTAACATATCTTAACAAATTTACAAAGTTATCATAATTGGTAAATCAAGTTTAAATATATTAAAAAATTATATAATTAAATTCATTACACATGAATAGTTTATGTTTGTATATATTATTAAGAAACTTATGTTTAATTAATTTTGTTTTAATTATTTACTATTGTACTAGCTTCCCACAAAATATAATATTTTAAAAAATCATTCAATTATATCATCTTCTCTGTAATAGTAACATTAAATTTAAAAATAAAAATTCTAATCTTTGTTTTTAAAATTCTTGCTCAAGGATTAAAGACACGGTAAAATTGATAAGGATTTTTTGGTAGAGGATTTAGTTCTATATAAAAAAGATCTGCTGCCCTGTTATGACAAAACGACGTATCTTTAAAATTTTAGTTTCGCGAAAATAGCGTATAAAGTTTTAACAGAATTTGAGTACAATTTTTAACAGAAAAATTCATTTCTGTTATGACAAAACGTTGTAACTCAAGATACGTTTTCTTATCGTAACAAACTAACGCTCATTTTGATAAATAAATGGAATTGTTATGACAAAATGCTGTAATTCAAAGAATTTAATGTTATAATAACTGTTGATCCAAGAAAATTTATTCAAGTCAAGAAAATCTTTTTTCGAGAAAATTCAGCCTCTTGCTCCATAAAATTTCGTTCTTGATAGAAGTAAATTTTCTTGCCTTGAGAAAATTTCTCTCTTGCTCCAAAAAATTAAATACCTCGGTAGTAAATTTTTATTAATATTTTTATTGACTAACATGTCAAATAGAAAGATCAAATAATATTGAATCATTTTTTTTCATTCAATATGTATAATTGCACGCTAAAATAGTATAAAATAGGTATCAAATATTCAAGAGAAAAATTTTCTCAAGGTGAGAAAATTTTTTTCTCAGCTGAAGTAGGTGTTACTGCTTCCCTAAAGTATCTAAAAATCTTGATCAAATATACAAATTTATTGTATCAAGTATTTATGATAATTTGAATTAAGAAAAAATTACTTCCATCAAGAATAGAATTTCAAAAAAAATTTTTACTTCGGCCAACACAACTTCGGTCTTCCTTCAGACACCCGAAAATTTTTTTGAGCCAAGAATTTTGTTCTCCAGTCAACAAATTTTTCTTTCTGTGTACGCACATTTGATCAATATTATTGGCATAATTAATTAAAATAGTAAAATTTTGATGATACCCTATTATTAAGTGACACTAAAAAAACCTTTTTAGCTTTGTTACGACAAAATATTTCAATAATTCAATAGTTCAATATTTTAGCCACAATCATAACTTAAAACTTTTGAAAACTATGGATAAGTTTTATAACTTTATTTTTTAACTATAAATTGAAATTTTGAAAAAAGGAAGATAGATAGAGCAAAATAGCTAAGGAGCTTTTTTGTTGAAAATTAAATTTTAATAAAAAAAGATCTGATATGATTTTTTTGTACTTTCAATATTTAAGCATTAATAATATTTTAATTTTTTAAAATAAAAATAATTATTTCCAGAGAGATGATCACCCCGGAGGCAGTGGAGTTAGCAAAATTAAAAGGTTCATGGTGTAGATCGCTGCTTAGGGAATGAGGAATCCGGGCCTACGTTTAGTCGGGCTCACGACGTCACCAGGTGGTGGCGGCGTATTTGGCACACGGGCCGAGGAGGAGTTGCGACATTGGCTTGAATCACGCTTGGATGCATTGGGTATAGACCCGGTTGCGTACTCGCGTTTTGTACTTAGCCTTTTACGTCGCCCCCCCGACTCGGCCCTGAGTCCTCTCGACGAAGACATTGACTTTGCCGTGGTTAATCGTCCTGCCGGTGGCGGAGGTGCTGGTGCTGGAGGACGTCGACATCATCATCGTGTCAGACCTAGAGCCCGGATATCTGGTGATCGTGATCAGCGACGTGCTGTTGTTCAATGTCTCACCAATGCTGCTGATCAGGTAATTTTATTTTATTTGTTTTTGAAAAACTTCGCTGAGAAAAAATTTATTTTGTAAAAAAAAAATGAGTATTGTGACAAGAAATTAATTTGTTGAAAATTTTAAACAATTTTATTTCTTAGCTGAAGATATTAAAAATTTTCTTACAGTAAAGTTATTGTTGAAAAAAATTTTTTCAGGTGAATAACTTGCGAATTTTTGTCCAAAATTTTTTTTTCCAAATCTAGAAAATTTTTTTTCAATAAAAAAGTTACTGTGAGAAAAATTTTATATACTCTCATATTACTAAATTTTTTAGACTGCGCTTATGACGAGAAAAATGGACCCCAATAATTAAGAAAAAAATTATAAAATGTACTATAAGAAATTCCTTAATTTTTTTTTTTTTTCTTTTAAAAATCAACTATAAGGTAAACGCCCCAATAGATGGATAGTCAAGCAAACTTCCATGTTCTTTTAGCAAAACAATATAATAAAATATAAATAATTTCGACGGTCTAATTAGCAATTTGTCTAACTCCTTATTTTTTAGAGGGTGATTTTTTAACATTTTGATGTAGCAATAGTCCAATTATAAATTATTTGAATTATTCAAACCAAAATATTATACCTTTATTAGATATTAAATGGTTTTTTAAAGTGATAATAAATTTTGAACTAATTGTTTTTTTTTTTCGTACAAATGGAAAACTCTCTAAAATGGAGTTAGACAATTTGCTAATTAGAACGTCGATTTGTAACAAAGCAAATTATATTTATGCAAAAATATGTAATTAACTAGAAAAAAATAAATCGGAAATTAATTTTATTATTTTTTAACACGTTGTACTCTCTCATGCAAGATAACGTAAAATATATATTAATATAATTAGATTATTAATTATTGATCTATATAAATTTATAAAATATTTTATGTTGACTTCTTCTATTTAACAGGTCTGTTCTCCTTTGCTTATAAATTTTCTTCCTGCAATTTTTGTCTTACATTCAGCTTTTTCTTCCTTCTCTTTTAATATCTCTTTTTATTTTCTTCATTTCTCTAATTTTTTTATTTTTCTGCTTCTTCATTTCATCTTCGTCTTTTTTAATTTGACAAATAAAATTGAAAAAAGTAAGAAAATTTATCATGTAAACACAATGTTCATCTATTGAATAGAGTTTATAAATGTGTTACCAATAGATAGGCAGTCTATTTGCTTATTTTCTTTTTATTTTATTATTAGAAAACCATATTTATAGCTTTTTTAGTAGAATATAAGTATAATAAAATGCACATAGCTTACTTTTTTCATTATTTTCAATAGTATGATTGTTAAAAAATTCTCTAGTATTTTTTTACTAAAAATGTGTTGGAAGTAGTTACGCACCACGATATAGTAATTATAATACTCAGTTTTATAAATTTACTCCACTATTTATTCTAACTCAATTTAGGAAAATTTCGAAACAGTTTCTGTAATTTACTAAACATCTATAGGCAATTTGTTTAACAATATTACAATAAAGATATTGTAATTTTACAAAACAAATTCTATTAAGGAGCTCCTTTCGCCGCCAATGTAAAATAAAAAATATTAGATTATGAGTAAATT